TATATAATCATTGTAATAAGCAGCTGTCTTGACTGAAAGTATTCATAACATGATCGTCTCTGACACGAGGCTCCTGTTGATGGTCACATTTAACGACTTTACTAATAGTTCACTTTGGTTTAAGGTTACACTCTTCCATCAAGACACGTTTTACAAAGCAAATAGAGAGAAAATATATAGAGACTGTCAGGGATAAAGACACATTTGTGTAGATTTTGTGCACAATTTTTTTTATTACTGAAGCTATTTGACAAATATTTACTTACTTATGCATTACAGTTTAATATTAGTAACATAATTCTCAAACAGCAAACTGTTTTTTGTGCGATCTGCTATGTCAGTCCAAATTTTCTATTTTGAAATAAAGAGGTCAAAATTTAAAATGTGTTTTTTTCAATTTATTGATTAATAAAAAAAAATAGAATGATTAATCAATTATTATAATAATCATTAGTTGCCCTACATAAAATCAAACACTGTAGTTATCATATAAATAAGATGGATCTGTTTTAGCCAATGGATAATAAGTAACTGTTTGACAAGATTATTTTATAATCACCATTCCAGCCTAGGAAGTAAAAATTCACGATTCAGCATATTTGAGTTAAGCATGTCTTTGCTTGTCTGATCCAGGTAACACACCTCCAATAACTGATCTGCAAGATGGAGAGGACTACATCATGTCAGGGTCTAACCGGTTCTGCTACAAGAACTCAGTAGTGCCGACCTGGAGGCAAACTTGGACAAGAATTCAGGTACATTATTTTATTATTACCCAGCCACCACAAGGTAAACAACATGTCACATACATCTCAGTCTGGGTTAGTTAAGGCCAAATTCTTACCTATGTGCAGTTTACTGTGTGTTTCTGTGGGTACAACTCCAAAACTGCGCTGCACCAAAATTACAATCTGAACCAGCCAATTTCCATAATGACTAAAGTATCTTACAAGGACCAGCACACAGTAGCAGCATTGCAAGCCAAGACATTTCAGTTTAGTTTGTTAACATTTATTCATGGATTTTTTTTACTTTATTCATTTTTTACCCTTTTACAAACAAACAACAAACAGAAAATAAAATGAAATACAGTTAAATGGAGGTGACAGCAACCAGTTCTTATTTAGGCAAAAACAATTCAATCTACAGCAATTATTGACATTTTATAAGTTATCTATTTGTCCCATTTTTCTTTAAATTCTACCTCTTTCAGTTTTAGGATAAAGACTATTCTTTCCATCAAAATTTTTTCTTGCATCCATCGTCAGGCCTGGGGCCGCGGTTCAGGGTTGAGCCACCTTCTTGTTATTGCTTAACTCGTTAACATCAATCATACAGACTGGTCTTTGTGGCTATCACAAATGGTTACACAGAGCTGGATGCACATATAGACGTTTACAACACGTAAATGTTTTTACATTAGAACTCAGTTTTCTGTTGTTGAAGGTTTCTAGTCATGTGATAGGGAGAACCAGCTTGCCTCTAGGCCTGGGAGTGTCCAGGAGTCGGATTTATAAAACTGGCGTACGCACAATATGAGCCCAGAAACTTGCGTACGCCACTTTTTACGCCAAGGTTGTGATTTATAAAATCCAAACTTGACGTGAAAATGTGCGGTGCCTCACGCCAGCTCTGACCCATGCGTACGCTCATTTTGGAGACGTGAAACTGCGACACAGATGGTGAAGTGAGGAATTTGAGCCGCACTGTGTAATGATCACTGTCAGATATTTAATTTACCTTCATAATCAGACTTAAATTTTTATTCAACTTTATCATCAGCTTTCTTAACAGTAATATTTATGCTTCTGCTGCTGCTGAGCCGTGAGGACCTTTGAAATAAAAACTTAAATCTTAAAGGGATCCACAATTAGTTGTAACATTAAACTTCATTAGCAGATAACAGAGCAGAGAGGGGGAGGACGGGGAGAAGAGCGGTGAACTTAACTTTATCTGACTTATTTTATTTATTGTTTTTATTGTCCTCTGAGAGAAAATTAATTTGAAGCTGAGTTTTTGAAATAAATCATTAGATTACTCTAAACATCTGTAAACTTGCAAAAAGAGGGAAAATCGGTGTAAATAACAGACAATCTGTTCATGTGAGCAGCTTTCAGCACCTGTCATCCTCCAGACGCATGATGGAGCGTGTCTGAGCCAATCACCTGTCTTGATATTGATCAGCTGACTGATTTAAATACATCTTAACATTCATGAGGTACTTTACATTGACTGTTTATGGTTGAGTGTGGGCGTGTAGAGGGTAGAACCTGAGGCGGGAACTTGTGCRCAAATTAAGAGGCACAGCTGTGATCTATGAAAGGAAAAWGCGGTGAAACGTGCGTACGCACGGTTTTATAAATCGGAATTTTTTTGGCGTACGCCATTTTCGTCTTTTGGCCGTACGTTCATTTTTAGTATGGTTTCCACGCAATCCTTTATAAATCTGACCCCTGAGCCCTCATGCACAAAGGATTGCGCAGCTTTCACAGTAAAAGTTGGCGTACGGACAAATTTAGAAAAGTGCGCCGTACCAAAAAAATCAGATGTACAAAACCGTACGCACTCAGGTTCCTGCACAGCTTTCCTTTATACATCCCAATGTGGAACTGAGCACACGTGAGACACCTCCCCTGACACGCCTCCGTTTAAATATGTAAAATAGATGTAAATGTGTCCAGCATGTGAGATTCTCCTCAGATTGTAAATGATTTTTAAATGCAGGAAAATTATACATTAAATGGAGAATGAGTGAGAAAATTGTCTAAATAAATAGTAGGGTGTAAAAATGAGTCTGTCACTCACAAAAGTGTGTGCATGTGTGTGTGTGGAGATGCTGTCTTCAGCGGCACATGAGGCTGAGATACATTTCCACCTTCTTTAATAATTGACTGTAAACACAGAGGAACTTAGGAGTTTGGCAGAACTTAGAAAAATATTTATTAAATAGAAGAAGTGAAGAAACGTGCCGCAGTGCTACGAGTTTCTGCTGAGGTGTGATTAATGCTTTAGTATCATGAAGTTTCTCATTCAGCTGCATGGCTCGCCTCAGAACTGCAGTAAAATACCTGATTGTAATTTGTTCAGGGTGATACAAAAAACAACCAAAAAATAAATAAATAAAATAAAACACGCTGTCCTTACGCTGTCTTTCTCCTTGTGGTGAAATCATCCTGCAGAACAGCTGACATTGTTTCACAATTACGCACAACTTTACACAGCAACAAATCTATTGTCTGCGTCTTGTGGAGCTGAGGAGTCATCACAGCTGAGCTGTTCTGAATTAATCTGCTGAGTTGACAAAGTTTTTTTCTCAGTGAGAATTAAAATCATGTTTCTTAGACAATTCACGCATTTTATTTTCCTCAGCTGTGTGTGCGCCTCGCAGGCCTGCGCTCTGCGTGTGTTTTCAACTATGTGACAAATATAAACACTACAGTTTACAGACTGGACTGAGGTTCTTGGATCATTTTTAAGCTGCTCTGTTTTCTTGTCTGAGGTTAAATGATTTTCAGTCCCGGGGTTCAGTTTCATGATCATTCAAGTTTCAACAATAAAAACTCAACACCGTGTTCAGACGCTCCTTACATCCATAAAACACAACAAAGTCATATTTCTGTGGATTCAGGTCAGATTTGTGACTTTGTGGGTTAAAACTGTCGACTGAAAAACTTTGCGTGGCTGCCGCACATTCTCACGGCAGGTGAAAAAGTGACGCCACGTTGGTTTTGATATATCACAACGTGGGCGTAGAACCTGGCACACGCAACTTTTTTTATGCGTTTATACATGAGGGCCCAGAACCTGAAGGAGTTGTTAAACTTCCTGCCTGGGGCGATCCACGACTAATTAAATGGCTGAGGCTATTAGGGGTGTAAGAATATATCGCTACACTGAAATATCGCGATATTTCATATCCAGATACTGTATCGATATTCTAAAGCCCTGTATCGATATTTAATTAAGGTTTWAAA